AAAAATTTCATACTCTAAAATGAATTTTGACTAGCATTTTTGTATATAATTTCAGAGTTTGGGAAATAGTTTATAACTCAGATATAAAGTTGATTATAATGGTTAAAATGCTTTCAGTGGGAAAGGAATCCTTTCACAGTGTTAAAACAAGACAGTTATAAATTTATTAATATGATTCTCTACTAGAGTTATGAGTGACTATATATGTCCGCATGATTTAAAACGTACATATTACTTCCAGTTCATGTTCTTTTTCTTCAATTCAAAACAATCTGTTGGGGGCAGACTGACTCAGATCACCTGGAAAAGAAACTAAGTCATTTCCCGATGATTCTAGGCTGGAAGTATAGGATAAAATCTTGATTTATTTCATATATCACATTAAAGCCATATGTAAAGTGAACTAATCCAGTCTACACATCTGGAGTTTTTCTGTTTTAAATAGTCTCAAAGACTTTACTTTGAAGGGCAAATTTTGATTTGTTGAAACAAGTGTAAAAATTTTGCAATTTTGGCTAAACTAGTAGAGAAAGATCTATTGTTGGGGGCATTTGTATTAGAACCTGTGAAGTGGGTTCTGCAACTCTAAGCTCTTTGAACCTGCAAAATCAGTACAGGTACAGGTACAGGTGAATGGTTTGGAATGTTTTGTTTTTTCAAAACGCAGTTACTATCGAGGGAATTGACACCAAGTATGACTGGGTGTTCTCAAATTACTGGGACATCCCTGGTACATCTTTACATCTTACCTGTAGGAATATCTTTCCTGTGGTAAGTTAGAGACCATAATGTCTTTTGCATGATTATTAAGTAGTTAAAACTTAGTGGGTTTTGTTTCTGTCTTCTTTTTTTTTTTTAAGCAGCATATTGAAGGAGTAACTTAGGAATCTAATATCAGACATAAAGAGTATAGCACATTAGAGATATTCTATGAACTTTTTATGCTAAAGTTGGGTCAATTACAGCTTTAACTTTCGTAGTCTTTTGTATGCACCATTGTGATTTTGCTTTAGAAAATTCGTGTTTGGCTTAGTTCTCATGAGGCTTTTCACAAGCTTTTGAAAGCTGTTAGGTAAGTTGTTTTCATGCTTTCATATAGAAAATGAAAGTTTTTGCATTGAGTTTATTTTAATCTATATGCATGTAGGATTTGAATTGCTTTTAGAAGGATTTTTTTTTTTCCTTTTGAGATAGGGTTTCTGTGTCGCTTTGGAGTCTGTCCTGGAGATCGATCTGTAGACTGTGCTGGCCTTGAATTTGCAGAGATCTGCCTGTCTCTGCCACCTTAGTGCTGGGATTAAAGGCATGCATCACCACCACCACCTGGCTTCAGGAGGATTCTTAAACTTGGAGGAATTCAGTGAAAAAAATTTGCTGGGGATTTAACCACCAAAAAATTTGCTGGGGACTTCATATGCAAGGCAAAGTGTGCCACTGCGGTAACTGTCCCCTTCTTTACTTTTGAGTTACATTTTCCTTAAGTTACCCAGGCTAATCTTAAAGTCAGAAGGCCTCGTACTTGTGATCTTCCTTTCTCAAACCTACCAAATAGCTGACATTATAAGCATGTACCACTATACCAGACTGCTTCTGTCTCAAAAGTTGTCACTGGCACTGGGTGTGGTACCTGTAATTTTAGTAAATGGGGGAAGAGGCAGAAGGATCAAAAGGAATTTGCCGGACAGGTGGTGGTGCACACCTTCAATCTTAGCACTTGGGAGGCAGAGGCAGGTGAATCTCTGTGAGTCTCCAGGTGATGGGGTTACAGGTGAGAACTTTGCCTGCCTGGCCTATTATTTTGTTTATAAAAGCTTTTTTTTTTTTTAAAAAATTATTTATTATGTGTACAACAGTCTGCCTCCATGTATGCCTGCAGGCCAGATCTCATTACAGATGGTTGTGAGCCACCATGTGGTTGCTGGGAATTGAACTCAGGCCCTCTGGAAGAACAATCAGTGCTCTTAACCACTGAGCCATCTCTCCAGCCCCTGGCCTATTATTTTTAAAGCTGTGTATAATTACTGTTTTTTACCAGCTATGCTAAATGCCATGGTTTGCTTCTGTACTCTGTTGTAGTTATTTCCATTTCTCTTATGAATGGCACTACTTGGAATCTTTGTAGACTGAGCTTTCTTGTGTGGTTTATTTTCCTCAACTGTATTGCTGGAGCAGAAAGAAAACACACGTTTTATAGTTATATCTTAGAGATTCCTTGTCAAGTGTACCAATTTATAGTATTGTTTATTAAGTAGAAAAACTACTAGCAATGTCTGCCTGCAAGGTCTGTATACCCAGGTTGTCCTTGAATTTGCAACCCTCTGGCCTTAGCTTCTTAAGTGCTGGTTTTCACAGGCATCAGAGCCATGTGCCATGATGTCTAAATACAATTATTTGTAGTTCTTTTGTTTTTAAATTGAGACAAGATTTTATACCTCTGACTGGCTGGTGTGAAACTTGCCATGTAGACCAGGTTGGCCCGGAGCTTTGACTGGCTCTCAAATGTTGGAATTTTAGGTTTGTGGCTACCACACCCATAATAATAACCTCTTGGTTACAACTATAGAGCCCATTCCCTTTTATAGATTAAAAGATGTTTTCAGATATCTTACTTGAATCAACTAGCAAGGAAGTTAAATGTAAGATTCTGTTAGCTTACAGAGAGCAAACCTAACACATGAGACCCAGACATTGATTTACCTGAAGTCATCAGCTTCATGTTGCAGATTTGGAGGTGTCACTTTGGTGTTCTGTAGCAGGGGGAGATATTCATCATCCCATGGTTGGAACAGGGCCTGGTACTTAGTAAACAGTTACACAGCCCAATGTTCTTGTTCTTAAAGCCCCTTTAGTTCCCCCTCTTTTTTAAATTTCCCTATTCTCCTTGTAATATGTAACATGTAAACTTTCACTGCCATCGCTTGAAAGCACTGGCAGATAGCAAGGGAAGACAGAAATGGTAAATGCAGGTAGTTCTTGGTGTCTGCTGATTGGATACGCCGTGATCAAGATTTTTTTCGACAGAGAATTCCCTTGTTTTTGACTCTGACTTCATTTATGTATATATGCCCAATTATATTGAACTGCTTGCCATGGCATCCTTAACCCTTTCTGTGCTTTAAGTAAATCCCATCTTTTTTGTGTGCGTCTTATTGGCTCGGTTTCTATTCTCTTCATTCTCTGCTTGGACCCTTTTAGCCACTTATGCCTTTTCTAATATAAATTTTATTTTATGTGTGTGTTATGCCTGCATTTATATCTGCCTGATTTCTACAGAGGCCAGAAAAAGACATAACATCTCCTGGTACTGGAGTTAAGGATGGTTGTGAGCTGCCATATGGGTGCTGAGAACCAAACCTAGATCCTTTTTCTGCAAGAGCAACAAGTATACTTAATGCCGAGGTATCTCTCCAGTCCGTTTTCTTTTGTCACTGAGACAAGGCTCTTGAGAGGCTTATGAACATAGTATTCACTTGGTGATAGTTTATTTCACAGAATTAATTTCTTTATCTAAAAGCATCTTAATTTTAAAAAATGTAATAGTACTTTAAGTGCCGCTGTAGGTAGGTCTCTATGCCTGTCTTTCTGGAAAGAACAGGAGCTCCTTGAGGGCAGTAGTCTTGACATAGCCTCCCATTGGCAGTGCCCACTGCATATAATGTTCAGTACATTGGTGATTTCCTAGATGGAGGGGCCATTGAGTTTAGGAAGTCTGTGGCATCCATTTCTGTGAGGTTATGACTGCAGCTTTCTCAGTGGCTCAGAGATTGATTGGTGAGTTACATGAGGGGGGCAAATAGATCCAGAATACGTAGCCAGATATCTTTAGTGACAGTTTTAAAGGGAGCAGTTTGGCTTAGTTGATGTAAAAAGTCTGATAGTTAACCATGAGATGAGAGCAGATGGGTGGAGCCCCAGAGTAAGTGAGAGCTGGAAAGATGGGCAGGCTTCATTGAGATGTAGACTTCTTTTAGTTAACTAAATTAAATTCTTCCTGAGTATAGAGGTTTTGTTTCTTTGTTAACTGTTGTGCAACAGAGTTGAAACTAATAGACATGCTAAATACTGATTACATTGATTAGGAGAGAGTAACCAGACTTAAACCTCAATTGAGTATTGTGACCTCACTAGTGGAGGGCTAGAGGTCTTCCAGGTTATCTCTTCCAGCTCAGTCTTTGTGTAGAATAGTCCAAGTTAAGTTGAGTGACTTGACCAGGTTATGCAGCTCAAGGGACACTAGTTTTCTATCTTCCAGAGTCTCTCTGTATTTACTTCTTTCTTACTGTTCTGATCATTGTTAACCAGGAAAAATGAGAAGTCGTACTGTTATGTCTTTTCAGGCTGGTTCAGGTTTTTGTTTTTGAGTTTACCCTGACACACTAGCTGTATGATTTACAAAATATGGAGGTTTTATTTTCCTTATATACCTTAACATTGTAAATATCGAGATGACCTTTTGTCTTAGGTTTTACTTACTTACTGGTTTTGTTGTTGGTGTTATTGTTACTTTTGTTTTTCAAGTGATTTCTCTGTGTAGCCCTGGCTGTCCTGGAACTCACTCTGTAGACTAGGCTGGCCTTTAACTCAGAGATCTCTCTGCCACTGCCTGACAAGTGCTGGGATTAAAGGCCTTCCAGCTTCTTTCCTGCTGTTTAATTTTTTTATGTTTGTGATAGTGTCTCACTGTAATCTAGGCTCATCTGAAATTTGTTCCATGTCCAAGAATAGCCTTCAATATAGGCTTGTATTATGCTCAGCTTTAGGTTTATTTTTCAAGGTACTAAATAGAGAATTTTTCACAGTATTTTGTTGTAAAATTGTTTTGAAAGTCCTTTTTAGAGTGATGTGTTTATCGGTATTTCTTAATTATACATCATAGGTTGTAGACATACATTTGACAACCTTTTATAATTATAGCTATAGTGGGGGAAGCTATTGTTTTAAAATGCATGAATATTTGTATAGTTGCATATTTTAGGTATTTCCTTAATTTAAATACTCAGATATTTATCCAAATATTATTGCTATGGGATTTCCTGCAGAAAGACTTGAAGGTGTATACAGGAACAATATTGATGATGTAGTAAGGTAAGAACTCTTGATTTTCTATTTCATTTATTAATAAACTATATTGATATGTTTTATTTAGAAGATTCCTAAAACAGAACAGTATGTGCATTATGATGTAGAATTTGTTTTGTTATGATAGTGCTCTGAAAGTTTTTAACTTAAACATCTGGTAGCTCTTACTGAATGCAATTCACTGGATAAGAACTGACCTCATATATAATCATGTGTCTATGTGATGTGATTTTTTTTCTTTTTCTTTTGTATCTGGTAAGATGCCTCTTACCAGGTTAGTGCCTGGCTTCTATTACAGTACAAGTTTTTAATTTTACATTTGGAGTAGTCTTTGAGTTATTCAGTTATTCACACTGAGGTGTGGTTGACTGGTAAGTCATGTTTATGTGGAACTTACACACACATGTACTAGTGTTTGATGCAGTGGTTATAGAAGGGAATTGTTGGGACACATGAAAGAATAAATTCAGAGCTTTATCATAACTTTTCAAGTATAATTGTGATTCAATTCAGAAAAGTCTTTTTCAAGGCCCAGTCAAAAATACTTTATGACCTAAGAATATATGAAATTGCCTGTTGGGCAAATTAGTTTGAACGTATTTTCTAATTTCATAATAAAAATACATGTAAATGAACATTAAATTTTTAGTGTAAACTGTAATGTTCATTAATAATGATTCATTAATATTGGGTCTTGCTATGTTTGCTATGATTTTTTAAAGTACTTGAATAGTTAAAAGTTAAAATTCTGGATTATTTCTTGTACTCAAAATATCTTTCCTGGGGCTTCTAATTACTTTGTTATTATGTGGATTTAAATAGGTGGAAAAGCACTTTGTAACTTACAAGGTAGTATGCATCTGTAGTAGTCTATGAATACATGACTTTATATGAGTTAGCTATCAGTTTTTCTAAGTGGTATTCATTTAGATATTATAGTATTATTTATGTTTTGTTCAAGTTTAAGTTTCACTGTCTATAAAATCTACCAAAATCCCCAAGCCCCTGTACTATTTTGTAGTTTCCATTAAATTTTAGGTTGTACTGTCAGAAGTATTGTTTAAAACTTTTAAAAGTAGGGAAATGCATTTGCCTTCTCATAATTAGATAGAACATAGTGGAAGGGTGAAGTGATTGTCTTATACTCTAACAATAAAAACTCGGGAGTCTGATATCAGGGTAAGAACTTGAAAGATCAGAGAAGTGTCTGAGAAGCCACCAGTGACTTCCTCTCTCCCCACCCTCTCACCTCTCCCTCCTTGCCTCATTTCCTGATGCCCAGATCCAAATAATCACACAGGAACTATATTAATTACAACACTGTTTGGATAATAGCTTAGGCATATTCCCAACTAGCTCTTACATCTTAAATTAACCCATTTCTATTAATCTGTGTATTGCCACAAGGCTGTGGCCTACCAGTAAGGTTCAGGTGTCTGTTTCCTTCGGCAGCTACATGGCATCTCTTTGACTGACCTCTTTTGCTCTCTATCTCTGGATTTCTTGCCTGGCTGTATTCTGCCCTGCCATAGGCCAAAGCCACTTCTTTATTAACCAATGGTAATAAAACATTCACAGCATACAGAGAAGAATACTACATCAGCTTCCTTCCCCCCTTTCTCATGCTTCTATCCAATAAGGGTAGGACATGCTCTTGGCTCCATTCTCCTACTTCCTGTATCTATCTGTCCTCATTTCTCTGAAACCTCTGTGGTTTTGGTCAGCTAGCTCTGCCCTCTGATTCAAAACAAACTTTATTGCCAGTGTTAGGGATGTCAGTGCAAGCAAAATATCACACAACAGAAGGATAGTTTGCACGGCAGACTGATAGGAGTCAGTGATGACACAGAGAAGATAAAACAAGCCATAGAAAACAGAGCAGAGGGGGATTGTTTGAACTGCAAGTGCAGAATATGGTAAATGATATGAGTCACCAGATAATATATTTTCTGCTTTGATGCAGAATTGTTTATGCCCTGCATGTAATGTCTCTTAAGATGAACTATTTCACATCAATTTTATATTCACCAAGGACGAATTTAACAAAGCCAAATTAGTACTTCAGCTTCTAAATTAAAAACAGGTATGAGTACTTTGAGTAGAGGGAACATTTTCTGGCATGTAAGGTTCTTCTGAGTAATCTGGCATGCTCATTTTATATTGGCTTCTGCTAAGTATGGGTTAGTCAGTGAGGATTATTGATCATCTTTCAGGTTACTGGCAGAATCCAGTTTCTAGACCTTTACCACTGGTTATTAGACCTTATAATAACTCAGCCAAGAATATGTTGTGTTGGGAAGTTAGTTTGGTCCTGAATCTTCTGGTTTCATAATTCCTACACTTAAACTTGCAAGTTAAAAGGTTTATGTTCACTTTGTAATTAGTAACCAAGACTGAAATTGATTCAGCTTGGCTTTATCTATTCTAGTTTGTTTTATTTAGCCTTATGGGCTTTGTCAGATGTTTTCCTAAAGAGTTTCTTATCTAGATTATTTGTTTAGCTAGTTGTTCTTTTAGCCTGCTGATTTTGTCACCTCTTCCTATAATGTTTTTAGCATAGCATATGGAGAACTAGCTGTGTATAAAACTATGTTCCCGGTGGGATTTGTTGTTATTGTTCTTTGTTTAGTTTATAAGCTAAATGACCAGCAATGTGTGGATGGCTCTGTTTACCAGCTCCCCACCCTCTGTTATATGGTGCTTAGAAAGGAAGGTAACATCTTCCTTACACACTAAAATGACTACAGATAATACTTTTCGTGTGCATGTGTGTTATTTTGGAGCTGGGTCTCACCTAAGTAGCCTTGGCTAGCCTGGAGGTCCCTATGTAGACCAGTCTGGTCTTGAACTCACAGACATTGGCCTGCCTCTGCCTCTGAGTGCTAGATTTAAAAGCATGTGTCACTACATGGCACCCTTAAAAATAATTCTTAGTTAACAACCTTTAGGATTGACTCTTTCAAAGAACATCTGTGTCCAACATCTGAATATCTGGTGACTTTAGTTTGTTTACACTATATTGGTGATATTAGGAATAATTAATAGTGATTCTTTTTTGCTTTGAAGGTAGTAACATCTCAGAAATATTTTCATTTTTTATACCTTTTATATTAGTTACTATTAGCGTCTGTCACCAAATAACATGGCAGAAACAGGTAATGGAAAAGAGGTTTAGTTTGTCTCATGGTTGCAGAAGGATTTCAGCCTTTGCATTTGAGAATGCAGGGCAGAGGCACCCCAGATTCATCCATCCATGGCATCATGAACTTGTAGCAGAAGTTCATGGTGGAAGGAGTGTGTACCAGTGACGCCTCGTAGTAGTGGACAGGAAGCAGGGACTAGAGGACTCTTCAGATACCTGCTCCTAGAGACTCATTTCTGACGGCCAGATTTTACTTCCAAAAGGCTCCACAAAGCATAACAGCTTTGCTCTTTTATTAATGTTTTTCAGTTGAGCTTTCTTCACTTTGTCTAGTGGGGTGTCCAAAGGATATCTTGAAGTATTTTATCTAATTCCATATTTTTCTTATGATTTTCCCCAAACAAGAGATATTGTATAAAACTTAGTCTTTGTTATTGTACTCAATTGTTACCTGGAGTGAAGCAAACTTAAATTGCAAATATCTTTAAGCTTACATGCTTACATTGTTCTGTGATTAGAGGTTTGAGATATTTAGTGTCATGGTAATGTGAAATTTCATATTTGAAAATTTGAGACAAATATTTAACTTCTCCATTTGAGATCAGGGATTAAAATAAACAATGTAAATGGAGAAAGAAACCAAGTTGGAACTTTGTGTGCTCTGTCTCTGTCTCTGTCTCTGTCTCTCTCTCTCTCTCTGTGTCTCTGTCTCTGTTTTTCAAGACAGGTAGTGTTTATGTAGCCCTGACTGACCTAGAACTCGCTCTGTTGGTCAAGCTGGCGTCAAACTCTCAGAGATCCACCTCCCTGACTCTACCTTCCAAGTGTTGGGATTAAAGGTGTGTGCTTCCACCACACAACGGAACTTTACTTTCTTAATTGCAGATGATTTACTTAATCTGAGGGATGAACACTGATGATCAGCACAGTTTAAGGGAGGGAATATAAGAGCATCTCTGCATTAGGTTTTTCTTTTTTTCCTCTCTGCATTTCTTGCACTAAGATCTTACCCTGAGCTAGGGGTAATATGAAACCACATTTTGTTCTGATAGTTCATTACTCTTTGATTTGTGGGTTTACATTGTCCCTTAGGCCAAGATGAAATTGCCATTTCTAAATCTAAGCAGTCTTTAACAGACTGGTGCATAGTGTACTGAAGGAGTGTATCTTGTGAACTGTTCTGCGCCCAAGGAGTCAGGAAAATGTAGATGGAGTAGAGGCAAACTGCCTTCTATGCAGATACTCACAGTGCCACCATGTGCGCCTTTCCTACCTTTTATGTTTCCTCCATGTTTTCTCATCTTTCTAGACGGCATTTCATGGAGCTCGATTTGGGAAATGTTGAAAATGAAAAAGTTATGTGTACAAATTTTTTCTCTTTGTCTGAATCTGTGGCAATTTATTGTAAAGTTTATAATAAGAACATTTTTATAACTTTGCTGTGTTTTAAGGTAGGGTCATACTATACGACCCAGGCTGGTTTTGAACTCATGATCCTTACACTTTCACCTATGGGTGCTGCCATACTAGCATGTTCACCCAAGGTTTTTAATAAGGAAACAATTAGAGCTCAGTTTTATGACATAACGATTTAGCAAAAGAGTATCTATTACTGTCTTGTATACTTGACTTCCTTACCCATGTGTAACCTGTTATAGATTCAAGACTATTCTTTCTTGGCTGCTAGCATATACATTTTTTCTCTGAAGAAACTTTGCAAATGTTCAATTCTTAGTTATATATACATTCCTCAATCAAGCTTAATTATATGTTTGTTGATTTTCAATAAGTAAGAAGTATTTGTTATTCTGACATCATTATTGACTATCATTTAAAAATGAGACTTGAAAACAGATTGATCAGA